GTCCTTACATAACAGAGTCTCAGGTTACTAAGAAAAGGATCAATATCTAAGACAGATGGCCTATTCCTTATGTTGCATACTTGTAAAGTATAGAAGAAGCACAAGAAATCACATCTTTGCATGGCCATGCATGATACAGACCCTCTGAGGAACCACTCTGGTCATACATAGCCTGGAATTAGACCAATCATTTTATTTTGTATCCTTCCTGGAATGGGAATGTAGAGTAAGTGACAAACATGTGATCTATGTTCTCTCTTAATCTTCATTTCTCACTCCATTCTGGTCATTGCCTGTACTCCAGCTGTCACTTTGAAATGTTGAAGAAGAACAAAAAGGCTATTGATTTAAGCACTCTGTACTGTTCAAGGCACTCATACCACACAGTGATCTCTTTGGAGTTTCACTACAACTCCATACTGTCATCCCCACTTTAAGGAATAGGAAACTCTGGTTCCATGCTCAGAAGGATTTGCCATGCTATTTGGCAAGTGTAATAAAATTCTTTCACTTCTTTTTTGGGAACTATTTCCTCATATCTGTTAAGAAGCTAAAATGAGGCTTTCTGTGAATAAGGGTCTTCTATAGCTATCCTACAAACTACTTGGGGTTTTATTACTTTAGCTTTCTACAGAGTTTTGTTAAAAAGCCTACAAGTAGATTCTACATCATTTTTACTACTTTTTTACTTTATTCCTGTTGAGTTATCAAGTAAGGGATTTTTAGGCAAGCAAAATACATTGCTAGAGAATAGAGGAGAATGTATGGGAGTTTACAGTCCACATACTCATGTACAAAATTTTTGAACTTTCTATTTTCTTATGTTTATGCAGAAGAAAAGAAAGGTCATTCAGAAATCATGCTAGATTTGCTGAGAAACATCTCGAAGTTCCTTAGAGTAACCAAAACAACTCTGCCTTCTGCGGGAAGGAAATTCACTGCTGCAATTCTGCAGATGCGCATTCTAAAAACAGAGATTCACATGCAGATTTTACGCTTTTCCTTAAGTGAGTTTCAAGTTCCTTAATTTTAGTTGACGTTAGGTTCAGCCACAATTCTTGTCTTAAGGTGAAAGCAACAGGGAACATGTTTTATTCCTGAAGGGTATTACCATGTGAGACATCCTATAAAAGTTAAATTTATCTAACACTTGCAGCAAGTCAACACTTTTATGATTAGCATGGCTATCGACCACAGTCTTTTTATACACTATTTCTAGTTGCATTTGAAGATCTCAATAAATCTTCTAATTTCACTGAGTTTGGTGCCCTGCCTAAAAAACTTTGGTCTCATTTATTTAGCCACACACACAACAGATTTTCTGTAAAAAGTAATTTTATTCAGGGCTTTCCCCACTCCACTTAATAGAACATAAAAACAAATAATGGAAAAAAAACTTGGAAAAACTAATAGCTAAAATTAAGTGAATTCTTACTCACCTAACTGACATAGCTGTACAGTCAGCAACTTTTGTCCTATCTGATTGGTGAGTATGCATTTGGGTGGTACGGTGTTTCATTTCTCTGACCTTCAGCAGTTTCATCCTATTATATGTGGGTAGTTCTCTTGTACTGCTGATTACCTTTCAAGGTTGTAATTATTGACCTCGTTAATTTGTGAATTTGTTGAAAATACTTGAACAGGTAATTTCCTGAAAAAGGCACTGGATGGTTCCATCACAGAGACCTGTTGCTGAAGTACTGTCAGCCAACAGCATTTCCTTTTCTGTGGTCAACATCTTCTGCATTCTGTATAAAAAACCCAGAGAAAGACAAGCAAAAGAATATGTGAAGCACAGAATTATGATCAGTCTTTTTTCCACCCTTTTTGTTACTATTACAGTGTGAGAAAGCCACATATTGGAGGCAAATGTCTTAGAAATTAAATCACAAGTGCTGTCTACTAATGAAAATATGTGAAAATTCTTCTTACCTAGTGATTTGTATGGGTGTCAAAATTAAGCAACATACACTGAAAAAATAAACTGCATCTATTAGTTTTCTTTTGATTTCAAGTTGCATTATTTTAAATAAATAAATTTCATATTTTGATGTACCTAGCACAAAGCTTATATACAGAGAAAATTAAGCAAGTATTTATTGATGTGGATACATGACACTATTATTATTTCAAGTGAATATGTAGCTATAAGATTTTCAAAGCACGGCTTATCACCCACTTTTTTTTGAGACAAGGTCTCACTATGAATTTCAAGCTGGCTTTGAGCTCACTATGTATCCCAGGCTGGTCTTGAACTTACAATAATCTACCTGCCTCAGCCTCTCAAGTGCTGGGACTAGGATTGCCATCCAAATACTTTTGTTCTTTGGTTCCCAGGTGCCTTAGAGAATGGGTTTTGTGTGTTAGTTATGAAAGCAAAGGTCCTAGAGTTGTTCAAGTATGTGTTACTCAGTTCCACATCTCAAATCACTGTTACCCAGGTCTGGACATCTCATCTGTGTCAACCTGTTTTCTCTGCATGTTTTCCACAGATGTATACAGCAGGTACAGAATTCCCAGTGTGCTCTGCTCTAAGACTACTCCTTGGCTTCTGGTCACCACAGGCCTCAGTGTGGGAATTCTGTTCTACAGGAGAATATTTCTTATTCCAAGCAAGAGCAAGACTTCACTTCTGCACAAAATAATTTTTTTTGGTCACCTTCTAAAAGATTTGGGTAGGGAAGTAAAAATCAGCATTCACTCATTTGATCTTCCCACAAGCCTGTGAAGAGGCATTGATAAACGTTTTTATCTCATGCTACAAGGGAAGAAGTTGAGACCAAAAGAAATTAATTAATTGTGCAAAGTCACAACATAGCTTATCAGGCATCTGGTGAGTCAGGGATGGCACACACTCCAACTGGATGATGAGGGAGTTTAATAAGGCAATGTTTATGAAGTGGTGAGGAAGACTGAGGAAAAGCAATGAAAAATCATGATGCGTATTGAGGCTAACAACTTTTGGGAAGTATTTCCATCCTTCAGCCTGAAAAGGTGGAGGGAAAGAAAGGAGTTAGTGGACCCCAGTGTGGGCCAGCTCACGGGCCACATGGCCTTCAGTTAAAGGTCACTGCCAACCCACAGTGAAGCTGGATGGGAAGGAGGTAAAGGAACAAACAGCTGGTCCTACTTTCCTTCTACCCTTCACTGTCTTGCTGCTTCCTATTCTCAGTAGTGAAAAAGACAGTGAGTCTCCAGATGCAGCCCATTGCGATTACCTTCCTGGGACAAGGAGTACAATTAGGGGGCAGAGCGAGGCTTCATCCCGGTCTCTTCACTGTGTGGTACTATCTTCCCAGAAGTTGTTATAGTTTCGGTGGACTAGTCCCAGCTTCTCACTTCTAAAAGGCCTGTCTCAATATAAATAATTATCACTTGATCTCTTACAGCGAGCTAAGTCTGAATATGATTTTTGAGTTATGGGTCATGTTACTACTCTCATCTTTATAAATGCTCAGTGATTGGTAGTGAAAGAGTATGACCGTTCTGCAGTTATACAACGACACACACACAGTTTTAAAGATGTAGGATGTTAATGTTTCACCAGGATATGACATTTTTACTGCTTTTCTTATTTTCCTGACTTTTTCCCTAACTCTGTTCTGCAGCTTCCTGAGGCTCACACAGCCACAGGCTGAGTAGCCCTATGGATGGGTTTCTCATTGTGCGTATTCTGCCTTGCAAGCACAAACCCACATGGCCGGCTGTACTAACAGTTCATGGCAAAATGAAACAGCATCTGTTGCTCTAATGTCTTGGCCATTTATTAATTAAAAATAATTTTGTTAAAGTCTCTTCAAATGTGGATGGTTGTGAAACTATATGAGGTGCCGAAAGGAATCTGACTTGGAGATAAAGTCTAGGCAGCGTTTTGAAATCTACCCCGAATTGTTGAGTGATTTTAGGGCAGTCCCTCTGCAGGTCTGGATGGAAGTACAAGGATATGCTAGTCTGTCTCTTTGGATGACCAGTCCTCAGGTCCACATTTATTTAGATTACTTAGCAACTGAGCTCTGTTGTCTTGGTTACTTTTCTCTCGTTGCTGGGACAAAATACCTGATGCCCAAAATTAAGGAAGGAAAGGTTTATTTCTGCTTACAGTTTGTGGAGGTTTCAGTCCATACTTGGCAGGTTATAAGGCAGAGTGGCACATGGCAGAGGGCTACAACTCATCGGGGCAGAACACAGCAAAGCAACAAGCACAAAAGCCAGGAATGGCCACAAGCAGCCTCTTGCTGTCCCTTACATATGCAAACTATCCACCCCATAATCAAACTCCAAAAGCCTGCCCCGTGACCACATGAGGCTTTGGGGGCACACCCAGACACAAACCATAACATCTGCTCAGCAGAAACTGAGGAAAGGGAGGATCATGGATAGAAGACCCCAGCTTGCAAATCTTCCAGTCTTCTTTGCAATAACAGGAACTTGTCTCCATAGCAGAAAGTTCATGCATCCTATGTATTTACTAATACCACGTGGTGGTCTTAATCTTCTATTTTCCCTACTCTTAAACCTTCCAGGCAATTTTTTATTATTTTTTTTCATTTCTTAAAATTTTCAGTGCTCTTCTAGCATCAGTATAACCCCTGGACTGCTATGAATTAGCAATTCCAGATAATTGATTTGTTGACTAGATTATATGCAGGTCTTCCAGTTACGGCCAGTTTTCTTATTTTCAAATTCATATGGCTGAATGAGAGCAACAATTACTAAGTTTGGGGATCAGAATTATTTAGGAAGATTTAAAAAGACACAGATTCTTTGCTCCCACCTTAAATAAACCGAATAGTAATAGTCCAAGGTGCACGATTTCATAGAATTCTCCTAGATGATTCTGCTTCAACTGGCTTGAAGGCTGCTGGATATGACATGATCAAGTGATTTGTGATGGCTCTCTCACTCTGAAAACTAGAACCTGGAATAAAAAGACATTAAATAGAATAAACGATGGTTAAATGCATTATTATGCTCCCTAAGGAGATTTTATTTCTCAACAGATACGTCATCACCACTTTAAGGAATTCATTGCAGTCATTATTACCCTCCTGTTACATGGGAGGACTCAAAGGACCAAAAAGGTAAGGAACTTGTGAAAGGTCACTAATACTGGGACAGGATATACAGCTACGGATTTCTAGTGCAATGATCTTTAAATTATAGCCATTCTTATCAGTGGAACAATACTGAAGAAGGGGCTTTAAATGTCAGTATCGACTCATTAATGCTTTCTCCCTCCTTCAATTCTAGGCCAAAGGAAAGAAATGACTTCTTCTGAGTAGGCTGTGGTTTTCCTCTTTAAATGAGCCCATTAAAATTGTCCTCTCCTCTTCCTGCCTAACTAGTCTCTCTTGGTTCTTAGCTGATGAAATAACGTGCACTACTTAAGATTCATATTTCCTTTCTAACTATGCCTTGAAGGAGCGGGATTAACTTTCTCAGCTTCTTCTTCAGCAGTAAACTCTAATTGGCTGACAGCTTGCTCAGACAAACACACAGGCCCTGAGGGCTTTTATGGTAAAAGAAAAGAAAACATGGTCACAGATCCACCATTTCTCAATACATTCCTCCCACAAACTATAAAAATAGGACTACGTCAGGGAGAATAAAGCAAAAATATGCAGTACTGGCCAATAAAACCTGATAAGAGCCCAATATCATTCCCTTTTCTGGAATTCTTTTCTGTTGGTCTGTAGAAGGAAATATTCTCAACATTTTAATTTCCAATCAGGCATGATTATATGCACAGTGCTTTGGTGAATCACCTCAGCCAGAATGTTTGCAACAGTCTCAGATTTGACTACCATATACTGCCTTTGTTTGCCTTTAATTATCCAGATGTCAGCTGGACACCTTCTCTGTTTCCCTCAACTTCTACTATGTTTGTTTTATACTGCTAACAGCAATGACTTTGATAATGACTGGCTCTAATCATCAGTGCAGTCTCTGTGCAGGAACACAGACTGATTCAGGTAATACAGGCCTAAACAACCAGTGCAAGACTTTTCTGGCATTAAAGAGTAGGGTGATTCCACCAGTCTAAAGTCCGAGACTTTCTCCAGGAATTTGGAGTTGGGATGTGCTCTTTTCCATGATGCTGTGTCCTTCAAAAGCATAAACACTATCACCATTTTGCTGTCATTTGCAAAGCCATCACGCAGACAGAGCTAGCAAAAAAGAGAGGACAGAAAAAAAAGAAGGGGGCTGGGGATTTAGCTCAGCTGCAAAGTGCCCGCCTGGCAAGTGCAAGGTCGCAAGTTTGATTCCTGGTACCGGAAGAAAAACAAAACAAAACAGAAACAAAAGAAGCGCACAGCAAAAGTACCATAGTCTTTTATAACTATCCTTTTTTACAGCAATAAAACTTATCAGAAATATCATTCAGAGCTGGGATTTGTTATTTCTATTCTCCATTAAGCCAAGTATTAGAAAAGGCTTTTAATGAGATTATAAGAAGAGAGATGGAGAGAATGTCATAGATTTCAGAAAAGCTTTTGGTAAAGCCCCTCATGAAACTTACCTGCCTTGTGGGAAAATACAGTTTGGGCGAGTGATCAAGCGAATGCCAGGGTTCCCAGGGTCACACCACAAGCCTCCAGGACAGTTAATACTCACCAAACTGACTGAAGTGAAGAAACAGAAAGGTTGCTCAGTAAGTTCATGGATTTGGGAGAAGAATTATCATATTTAATGATTAAATCATAATTTTAGATTATCATTCTAGTCTAGAATGAATAAAGTTAAATGTAAACACACACACATAAGTAAAATTTTACTTTGGAATAGGGTTTAAATAAGGATTGATAGTCATAAAAAAAAATTCAATGAAAATTCCTGAGCTGTTAGTTGATTACAAACTTTACAGGAACCCATAGTGTGGCATGGCTACTTAAAAAGTCAAGACAGTTTTAAAACTGTGATTAACCATGTTATAATGTCTCTCCCCTGCCAAGAAAAAAAAAAAAAAATTCTGCTATTCTTGTGCTTGGATAATATTTGGAGTTGTATGTTTGTTATGGTTGATACATTGTGTCAACTTGGGGAGTCTAGAAGTTTGGCTAAGTGACTCAGCAGGAAGCCAGGGTGCTTACTTTGTATACATCCTGAGCCTGTGGAAGAGGAGGGCATGGAGATTATGTGAGAGCTACACGCCCCTTAGGTGGGGGTAGCCTGTTTACAATGTAAGGGAGGGAAAGAAGCTGGTTGCCGCCATTCCTCCCTTTTGCTCTGGCTGCTTTTGGCTGCCAATTCCCCCTCTTGCTCTTGTTGCTTTGCTACCTTCTGCCTCGGAGCCAGCCAAGTATGGACTGAAACCTCCACAAACTGTAAGCTAAATAAACCTTTCCTTCCTTCATTTTGGGCGTTGGGTATTTTGTCTCAACAATGAGAGAAAAGTAACCAAGACAATGTTCAATTTTGTCATTGTATTGGTGGGTAGATCACACTTGAGAAAGTCCTAAATTGGGACTGTCAATGCTGTGAAATGTCATAGAAAAACTATGTTTTAAAAAAAAAAAATCTGTTTTTTTTTTTGTTTTTTTTTTCCTGGAAAAGTGAAGATTAATGGAAACCAAAATAGACATCACTGCACATTTATTCATTAAGCAAATGTATTTCCCCAAAATGAGTAAAAGTGTGAGTGGTACCAGAAATATACACATGGATAAGATCTGAAGACAGTCTAGTGAAGGACACAAGAAAAAAATCTACAGGATGATGACAGGCACATAGTACCTTAAAGGCGCTAGTAATGGAACAGCTAAGCAAAACTTAGTAGTAATATCATCCTCTAACTCGACATAGAAGGAAAATCAGAATGCCTAGGCACAGAGAAAAACACTCAAAGAAGGTAAAGAGACAGGACCTCACTAACTCTCTATGATATGCAGCCACAGAGAAAATGAGACGGGAAAAAGGAGGGAAGAGAACATTACACTATTTAATCAAGATACTTTGGTTAGTATGTGAAAAACAGATTCTCATATTGAAAAAATTCATTATGGAGAATATATGGTTAAGTATAATCAATACATCTTGCAACTAAGGAAAAAGATGAGCTCTAACTATATTAAAAAGAAAATAATAGTATGGAAAGGATGACTACATCAGCAAAACAGCATAACAATCTTATAAACATATTTAAGCATGTACACACAGTTGGTAGATAAGAAAAATTACCTTTCAAATCTGTAGGGAAAAGGGCATTAATAATTCAATGAACCTACTTTTCTGGGATAATTGGTTAAATCCTTGGGAAAATTAAATTAAAACTCAATGTTACATGTCCAAATAAATTCTAAATCATGCTATAGTTTAAATGCCAAAATGTGAAACATCAAAACAAATAAAAATACACAAAAATAAGTGCTTCAGAGTGATGAAGATTTTTCTGAGGTCAAATCCAAAACAATAAAAAGAAACTAGAAAAGAAATAATTTATATTTTTTTTAATCAAAAAAGGAGAAAGAGCAGGAGAATTACAAGCAAAAGAGAGAAATGAAATAAAACCAATGAACAAGATCAGCCCTAATTTCTGCCCCTCATCCATCTGCACTCACATCTTTTCTTTTCTGTATTTCTCTTTCCAGTAATTGCATTCACGTCCTTCTAATTACTCAACTCAAACTTGTAGAAGTCATCTGCTCTTCTCATTTCCTTCTTTCTCTCCCTTCAATCTGTCAGCCAGTATCATCTACTTTGCCATTCAAAATGGATTGCAAATGCATCTACTGCTCCCCATTCCTCCAGCCATGACCCTCATGCAGCTATCACACAGATTCCTGTAATCACTCTCCAAGTGGTTTCACTGCTACATTCTTGGTCCTCGGACCTCCATTCTCCAGCAGCACCCAAGATGCTTAAGGTGCCGGGGTAATGGTCATCATTCACTGCTTGCTAAATTTTAAGACTCTACTATGTACCAAGATTATTCTGAGAGTTGAGTCTAAAGCAGTAAACAAAACAATCTAACTGCATGTCTGTGGAACTGACACTCTAGTGAAGATGGGGAACAGGGGAAGACAATACAGAATTAGTCAGGGAGTATTTTATATGATACAAACCATGCAAAAATATTAAACAGGAAAGGAACACAGGACCTGCCGGAGAAGCCGTCTTATTCAGTCATGTGCTATGTTCATTGAAGAGAAGCTTGGCAGAAAAGATGAGAGGAACTGAAATCCCAGGGAAGTAATTTTTCTAATTCTTCTGCCCAAGTGCTGAATATTTTTTAAAATATATGTGCCCAGAGCAAATCTTTTTTATTTACCCAAAGGTACAATTCCTAAGCTATACAGATCAGATGGTTTGTTTTAAGATGACCACTGACTCATATTAAAAACAATGCAAGTGTGGGAGAAGGAATATAATTTATGAGATTATTGGAAAATTCCAAGTAAAAGGTTACAGTGACTTGAATAAGATTATACTGGTATAAGTCGTGGGAAAAGCTTGATTCTGGATATATTTTAAAGAAAGAAGAAACAAAGAAAATATGGCTGTTGGAATGTGTATGGTACTTTCAAGTCCAATCTCTGACATACCCATACTTAATTCTGGTAATATCATCTCTATTCATTCTTTCTCAGGCTCACAAAACTACAAATACATCAGCCATCTTTCTAACTCTTATGGAGTCCAAGTCCATTGTCAGTTTAGGACTTTGACATTTGCTCTCCCCATGATGAGACACTGTTCCCTGATCTTTACCTGGCTTGCTCATTCTCCTTAATCAAGGAGCTCAAAAGTCACCTTCTTTTGGGTACCATGCTTGACCATATCACTTAAAATATGGCTTGCAATCATTCATGCAATTTCTACTGAGTCTTTCTCACTATATAACTTACCACTATCTCTGATAAAAATTAATTGCTTTATTGTCACCATTCCTAGAGTATAAGATCTACATCATTCAGATCAAAAACCATAACCTGAAATAATGCCCAATAAATAGGAAACATGTTCAGTAATCTCGAGGCTTTTGTAGGAAAATGGATGCAACTAGAGACCGTACTCATAAGTGAAATAAATCGGACCCAGATGATTAAACATCATATCGTCTCCTTGGTGTAGGAACCTGAAAGACTAGGTAAAACTCAAAACATACAATAGATGATAGGAAAGGGAAAGAAACTGCTCAAAGAAAGGGAAGACTGGGATGAGGGAAAGAACAAAAATGAAAGAAGGAATGCAAAATATAAATGTATATATGAATAGCTGCAATAACTGTATTGCTGATGTCTGATGGTGCATTGAAATTAGCAGTTAATGAT